GTTGCCGCCATGTGATTGGCTGCTTAGAAATTAAGTGTTAACGAGCAGTTGGACAGGTGTACCTAATAAAGTGGCCGGTGAGTGTACATAATATAGATCTTTACCTTAATTTTGAGAAGCGGATATTTTCTTTATGGTCAATAGGCAGAGGTTAAAACCTCAGAAAGTTCAGTTCCTCTATTCCAAACTGTTCAGCCTTCCTGTTATCTGCTCAAAATCTGATTCTTTCTCACAAGCAGAAGAGTGTATCAGACGTCTTGCAAGATCTAGAAAATGCAGTTTAAAAGTTTCTTTGTTCTCTGTATTTCTCTAGCTTCCTTTATGATTCCTCCTTAATGCAGGAAAATACTTTTGCATGACACCTAACCTCCATATTGGCCTACAAAGCAGTTCTATTAGCTCAACCTAACTATTAATCTACTTATTAGCTATCTACGAAAACTGATAAAAATCTCAATGTATCACTATTAGTATATTTTTTCTCTGAATATATAAAATATGAATATTACAGATGATTAGAGCATTATCTACAGGTAAGCTATTAACAGTTTAAAACTTCCCAAAAAATCCTCAGAAAGACTTTAACCAGCTATAAGCTTAACACATTATAATGTTCATCTTTTAAAATATTAAAACTACTTTTTTTATACATGCAATATACACAGATATCTGTATGTGCTGATCATTGTTTAATATAAAGCAGTACTGCAGCACGATTGCACACAGCTGCTGCAATGGAGGACGTCTAGAGTAGAAAACCAAACATTTTTATGCCAGCTTACCCTGCACGTCTCCTGTCGTCACTGTGGTTGTGTAAATCCGCGCTGGAACAAAAAGGAGGCTGAGTTACTGACATGCACATTTTCTGACTCATATTTAATTAATGAAGAGTTGAATTGCTGATTTGCTGAACATGTAGCAAAATGAAGAGATTATCCATATTCATGACCTGAAAGTGATGCAAGTGGAAGAATTTGTTGAAATTTAGCAGCTGATGCATCAAAATAAATTCATTTGAGATTATATTAAAAGTCATTTGAAATGCAGATATCTGACTTTAGTTCTTTCATTTCAAATTTCTAGTTTACCTGTTTGGGTGCATTCTTCCCGTTTAAGTTTTTTTGTATGTCTATTAAATATAAAACAAAGTTGGGGGAGGGGGGATGCAAAGGTGTATTTATCAGATAGGACTAAAAAAAGCTGCAGAATGCATGTATAGGAATGTTAAGTGGAAGGAAAAAGTGTGATGGAAAAAGGCAAACGAGGAACGGGGGTAACCGCAACTATAAAAATAAAATAATTTAGGAGAGATTAACAAAGATTAGCAAGGCATGTACTGCTGCTGGTGTGCTTCGAAGGAACCACACCCAGGAGCCCATATTTACTCAGCATTCACTTTCTAATCTGGACTTAGAAACAATCTTGGATCTGTTCCAGATCTGTACTTTTCTGCATTAAAACACACAAGGTTTTAGTTATCCTTTATTTTCCATATTCCAGCAGTGGAAGGCCTAAACACAGAGTTAGGACTGGCTAAGGAATATAATGAGAGTGGTCGATAGAAAAAGATCTTGCATAGTCCTTTTTCACATCTTTTCTGCCTTGTTTGAGGAGGTCAGGAGAAACTTTCCAGAGATTGACCAATTTCAACTGCAGTGAATTAACAATCCCTTCAGGCGTAATGTTGGGTGGGGTCACATCTTCTGCTTTAATGCCCCCTTTTCACACCTTATTATAGGGTCTTTCTTAAAATATCATATAAAGATATTGCTCTTTTAAATAAGTCATTACTGCTCAGAGTTATATACTTTTTGTAAGTTTTTTTCTTTTCAAGCAAAAGCGATGCTGACTGAACCTTATTGGCTGGTTTATGAAGTCCTCTTTAATACCCTGAAGCAGCTGGAGGAAGGAGGGCGGACTTCCTGTAGCAATGGTAACCTATATTAAGTTATATTAATGTTAAAACTCCAAGGAGTCTCATATCTCAAAGGTCAATAAAAATGATGAATGCTATTTCCCCAGAAGGCAATTTACTGTTGCATAGAAATAAGCTTGGGGAGAATTTTGAATACTATATATAATTTAGAATCAACCTGAAATTGTCATTTTAACTGAATAATGTGAAAAGGATCAACCTTTCAAGAATCATAGAGTGACTCAAACAAGCAAATATAAATACCAACAGACATTAGATTGTAAATAATCTAAAGCTAAAAGGAGAAACTTTCGGGTGAGTGAAAACCTATTTAAGCAAGAAGGGGGGACCTGATCTGTAATTTCAAAGTGTAGCACCACTTATCGCCAATGGCAACAGTCTCCCTCAGTGTTTTGGATTCTGATAGCCAACCACTTTGCATCAGCAAACTGAGAAGTCATGGAGTTACTAATAAATTCAGTGCTGCATTCAATCTTCTGGATTAAATCCTACATCAGATAAACATGTTTTTTTTATGTTTTGTTGCCAAACAATTTTTAGCGTAGTTATCTCTGGTGTTTAAGGGAAGCTCAGACTGCTGTAAAGCAGGGTTCTGGGTCACATGAGTGATCTGACCCTCTAAAGTTAAACAGGGTGAGTTTTTGAGAAGGTCAGCCCATATGGAGCATTGGAAAACAAGCGTCATATATACTGACTTGAAAAATCTATTAATCTCAAATTAAGCTAATATTTAGTTTTAAAAGTTACACACTGTTGCTTGAAATTATCAAATCAAATGCAAAGGTACGTTCACAGCTAATGCAAATTTCACAGCTGAAGTGAAAGATTCCCATATTATCGATATGTAGAGGGCGGAAAGTAGAGTTGGGTATTGTTAGGAACCTCACGATTCGATTATTGCTGTTATGATTCGATCCGATCCGATGCAATTCGATTCGATTCAATGCTGAATTTTTAAACCGTGTGACTCCAGGAGTTTTAAGAGCAGCCTGGGATGCCAAGTTGAGCACATGGGCAAAGCAGCCAACATGTAATAGCTCAGTGATATCGACAGCAACTAGCATGTTGGCAGCATTATCTGTAACAACAGTGGCTACGTTTCCGGTTATGCCCGATTCGTTTATTGCCTCCATCAACATGTTCGCTATGTTGCTCCCTGTGGGACTTCCGTGAAGCGGCCTGGTCTAAAGCACATTTAAAACTAATTCCCACTCATTTGATATGAAATGAGAATTGATGGTTATGTAGGGGTCAGTCGCTCTCGAAGTCCAGCCATCGCACGTCAGCGCGACTCTTTCAGCAGCCTTTAGCGACTCCAACACAACCGTCTTCACCTCTGTGTAGAGTGCCGACAGCGCCCCCAATGGTCAGGAGGTGAATCGATTCTGAGGGGCTCCCGCATCGACTATGAATTTTGCGTGTAATAATTGCGATGCATCGATTCTTCAATTAGTTTACCCCTAGCGGAAAGCGACGAAAAGTGGAGCGAATCTGAGCGAGGCCAAGGTGATAAATTTCGGTTGGCGATTTTGGTTAAGTTGCTGACATTTTATTAATGAATCAGAACTTTTGTTAACATTCCTGTTGCAAAATCCAGTTATGTCTTCCCAATGGAGTAGTTAGCTTCTATTATTGGCCCCAGCCCTCTGTAGCCTCTCCTGCTGATTCCCTGGGGGATCCTCTGATCTCCCGCTGTGGTTCCATAGTTCCAGACTCTGACACGGCTGGTAGCCTGGTCCAGGTTCTGATTTTTTCCCCCTGTTCTTGCTCTGATTTCCCGCTTCTCCTGTTAGAGCTGCAAAATGCCGCCTCATCTATCAGGACAGCAGGGTCAAGGATAGGTGGAAGTACAGCTGACAGCTACGGTCAGCCAGACTTAGCTTATGGAGGAGATGGTGGTATTCTCCATACCGGTTCAGTCTGTGGGAATCTGGTAAACCTAGAAACACCAACAGATTTGTTTGGCCCTCTAAAGTAAAAAAAACACTGCCTGTTGCGTTGTAAATCCATGTCCGCCATGATGAGGTGAAACCAACGACCAGCAGAACCTGTGATGTAGGAGCCTTTCACCCACCATGCAAAAGGCTTTCCCTGGTCAGATGAATTTCTGGGCGAGCAAAAGGAGACAGATTTCGCTAAATAATTGCATGTTTCGCGTTCGGTCTTAACGCAACTTAAAATCCGAGCCAGGTTTAACAAAGCATCTTTTTTGAGAAGTTGACCATTCCTCCCTGACCCAGTGGGGCGAGTATGGTTGGTTGACAATATAATTTGGTCTAAATCTCAGAACCTAGTTAATCTCATTAGTGCATCAATCTCCAGCTGAGGAGCCGTCAGCAGGGACCGGTCAACCAATCAGGAGAGGACTTTAACAAAATATGTCAGTGAAACAGCCTTTGAATAATGGATGCCAATTTTTGTTTTAAACCCTTCTTCATGTCAGAGACTTTCTAAAATTCCAAAAATATTAGAAATCTATGACATGTAATTTTATTCCATTTAATTAAAAAATATTGTATTAATCCAAAAGGAAACTCATTGCCTTTTTTTAAGTTTCAAACATGTTCTATTAAAGAATGAATCAGTTCAACAACAATAACGATAAAAAGCTGTCAATTTAAAACTAATTATAGAAGGATTACAAATTTTTACACAAGGAATTTAACATAAACCAACAGTAGTTCAGACCAAACCTTCTTTGATAAGTATTCTATGATGTATTGTGCAATTCTGGATATTATAAGGTTATTTGGAAGTGGGCAGTATTCTCTACGGCCCACAGTGAATGGAAAGGCAGGTCTCTCACTCACCCATACATGTGTAGGTGGCCATGGCCCAGGAGAGGGCGCTAACCTGTCCGGCATCCTTGGACCTCCACATGCACTGCAGCTGGGCGAACTTACTGGCTGCACTAATGAATGTGCACAGGCTCTGAGGGGACATCGAAGGGTGACATATTACACAGTTAGAAGGCGACAGATTGAACACTGCAGGTGGGCTGGGTTATAAACAGTAAAAAGTTACTCTATGTGCCATCTAACATCTCAAACTCTAAGTGGCAGAATACTTCCTTTACCTATTGAAATGTAAAATGCCTACAGACATGTTCATCTCATTAACCAAGCAGGTATGGCTGAGTTTCAGGGAGAAAGAAATGAGCTCTGGGTGAGTCTCTTCTCAAAGCTCCACATCATTACTCCTGACTGATGACGTGCCAACTCTTTACGGTGTGTGACTTATTTAAATCTGATGCATTACCATGGCCAGATCTATGATCCACCTCTCCACAGTGAGGAGCTTCCAGCCTCCGATCAACCTGAGCGTGCACCGTTAAGGCAAAGCACAGAGCGCCGAGGGGGAGGGGTTATACATTTCCCTCAGCATCAAATGACCAGTTTCACAGCTATTACTGCCGGAGAGCGAAAGGATACAGCAAGGCGTAGACCAGGCTCTGCCGCAGGCTGCCGTTGTAGTGAAGAATCAGGAGCAGGAGAATGACATCTGATGACACACAGAGCAGGTTATAAACGTGCTCCACTCCAGGCTGGGTTAAGGCTTCATTTCAGGGGCCACTGATGTACAACCTATTCATAATGTTCTAGAAAAAGAAGCATCTTGGAAACATTTCCTGATTTGAATTCCCCGTAACTCTTCTCCGCACAACGTTCGACAAACAGGCTGCAACAAGTTTTAAAAAGCATCCCCACAAAAATGTCTTATAGCAATTTGCAGAGTAACTATATAATTTTTCTTTACACTCACTGGGTTCAAGGTAGCCTACAGCTGTTAGGGTTGTTCCTGATCGATTTTCTGTCATTTAAACGACACAGGGGACACACCTGATCCATCCTACTTTTACCTACTATACAGCGATAAAGAAAACTACCAGCTGGATATAATCATGATCCAAATCAGGCATTATTTGATCAACTCTAACGCTTGATGAGAATGAATGCATATATATATGAGCTTCTATGTACAATTTGACCTACTATGATTAGAAAAAATTTAATATATATATGCATAATTCACATTTTTGAAACTAAATAATGTAACACTGCATAACTTTTAGCCATCAGAGGGTGTCGGCCTGTAACTTCCAGGTTCAAACTCGCCTTTACGCATTAAATCCTACATTATGAAAACAAAATATCTGATCAGGTAGGTTTCATAATTGTTTTGTTGTTAAACAACAAAGTTTAGCTTAGTTTGCTCTATTTTAGGAGGAGCTTTGACTGCCTTAACGCTCGCGGCAGTGATGGATCCGAGCCTAGTTTTTTATAAGGGCAGGCTAAATATAGCATCAGTATTCGCCTTCATGCTGTATATTGAACTAAGAATTATTTTCATATATATATATGTATAATAAGGTATTACTTGCGTCAAGTTATTCATTGTTGCTTTAATTTAGTTAATGCTGGATTTTCTCTGTCATAAAAATGTGCGATGTCCTGGGTCGGTCCTTCAGTGGCTGAGAAGTGATCTATGAGTTTATATAGTCTCCCCCTGCTGTTCTAGAGGACTTCCGTTTTGCAAAGCCAGTGTGTTGATTTTTTTTACATTTATCTACTTATTTCTTGCGGCTGTTTCTGTTTTTTTGCATGTGTTTTGTATGTTAGTCTATTTTTTTGTTTGCAGGTCACAGATTTACAGCCGCACAACCAGTGTTGGGAGATCCGGCATCACCGAGTCATCTCCATGTATTTGTTCTGCCCAGCCGCTGACCCAGGTGAGTCCAATCTGCACAATCTAATACACTGTTCAGTTTGGACACACTTGGTTCAGCGGCTGAGCAGAACAAATACATGACATAGAGATGACTTGTTGACTCTAAATCTCCCACCTCTGTACACAAGCAGTTTTTGTATTTGCTGCATGTTTCCGCATTTTCAGTGTTTCTGCATCCTTCATCCGTACATTCCTTATTTCTGTGCAACAATTACATACATTTATTAATTTTTTTTAACTAAGATTTTAATGGGCCAGTTCAGACTTTCGCTTTTCAGGTTCTAATGGCATCCAGTATTGGTAAATTCTCAAATGAAAAAAATTCTAGAAATCACACCGTTCTAATTCATTACACTCATTACACTTAAAATACTCATTATATCACATTACTTCCTAGCTTACCTTGAGCAATGAGGATGGGATATTCCAGGTATGTTGGGGGTGGGTAGTTGTAGTACATCTGGTAAGTTACAAAAACTATGAATCTGAAAAAGATTAAAAATATTTATAGTTGTAATGACTTCCTGGAGCGGAGGAGAATTTTTTGACAGATGTAATCGGTTCAGATCAGAAGAGGATTCTGACATCTTGGGTTGATTAAGAAAATCAATAACTATGATGGGAACCCCCGACCTCCTCAGATACATGATGCTGATGAGAAATTATATTAATTATATTAATTGCCCACTCTTTGATCTTTAAGACATTGCTTCCTGCTTCTTGGACAGTATAGAAACTTCTGCTTCCTTGAGATTCTCTTTTTTTCCCCAGTGATGCTAAATCTATCTTAATAAAGAGTGCTAAAAATACCCACAACACCTTGCAAATTTAACCAAACTTTTGAACCTTCTGCAACGTTCAGACCGCACGCTCTAGAGGCAGCAGAAGCAGCTAGTTTACATGCAAAGTCAATGGTTGATGCGCATCAAGGTGCAGCAAAAGGTATGCAGTGCATTTCTAGCAGCCGGAGCAGTGCATCTGAGCAGCTGAAAGAGCGCCTCACAAGCTTCTGAGCATCTGATGCGAAAAAGCAGCACCTGCTGGAGTTGGAAAATTTAACTTTTTTTGCTCCGTGCGCCACATCAACCAATCAGATAAGCTGATCTGGGAGCTGGCAGGGAGACAGACACAGCACTGATGATGCAGATCGCTATCATCACTCCTCTGACATACTTTAATAACGCCTTAATTAACTTAAAATGTCGAAACCTGCTGACAAAATATGTTCACTTTTATTCTGGTGCCTGCAGTTTGGATTACATACATGAAAAACACCTTCCAGCCGCCACAAATGTTAGCCCCTCTCTTTCAATGGGATTCCCAGTAACAGAGCGCCTCCGGTGGTCTGAGAGGCTTCGACAGCGAAATGATATTTGAAGGCAGGATCGTAATCTTAATGAACTGACCTCAGAGACGATGTTTTCAGGTTTCTCACATAAAAACATATTTAAACTGCTTTTTACCCACTTATAACAGCAAATATAGCAAAGCTGCTTTCTACCATTGAACACAAGAGCAGCAGAAGCATCTGGACACACTTTTTTTACGCGTCTCAGGAGCATCAAAGATGCTCTAGATGCACGTCTGACCTTAATGTGTACGAGCATCAAAAATGAAGTAGCAGAAGCTTTTTTGCTGCTTCCAGCACTTGCAGTCTGAACTCCCATTACTCAGATTATTTTACAGCCACAAACTTCAATGCTTTTTTTATTAGTATTTAGTGACACAGACTAAATACTGCATCACTAAATATTAATTAAGAAAATGGGTTGTGCATGTTGCTGCAGTCTGACCATTTGATGTTACTAAAAAAATAAGCATTGTAGCTTTAAGATTATTATTAAGGAAATCAGGCCTAACAAATTGGTACTTTTTATTTGCTATATCTGGGGTCTCCACAGCCACAATCAGCTTTTTAGTTCAGCAGCTAAGTATATTGAAAGGTAAACTAATTCCCTGTTCTTTGTTCATGCTCTTGTTTTGTGCCCCCATGAAAAAAAAAATATTTAAGAACTTAATTCTAAAAATAAAATCACACTCAGAGCAGAGGCGTAGCCAGAATTTTTTTTATAAGGGTAGCCAGGCAATAAGCCATGTACACTGAGGGGTGGCTGAAGGTGGATCGGCCCCAGAACCTCAGGGTCAATCTACACTATAGCAACAGGAAAATTAACAAGCACAACATCCATATTTCCTACAGCCTTTGCTAACAAATAGACCCAAATATTTAAAAATCAGTGCTTTCTAAATAAATATTGGATACAATTCTTTCAGATTTGAGTTCTGGGGCAAACACCTCTTCCTTTGTCATTACTTACCTACTTTTATCAACACTTATTCTGCATAAAACTGATATTTACTAAAGTATAAGTATACTAAAATATACATAAATTCATTATTAAGGTTTTATTAAAATAGTTATTTATCTATGATTTCACTAAAGACTCCTAGAAGACTTTCAGAGACTCACCATTTTCTCTTTACCCCATAAAACACAAAATCTAGTTCTGAAATAAGCATGTAATATCATCTTTAATGTTAGTATATTGAAGTGCATAATTAACTACATTGTTTTTTTTGTAAAGTAATTGTTAATATATTAACAATTATAATATATTGTTACATGTTAGGGGTGGAACGGTTCACAAAATCCACGGTTCGGTTCACGGTTTCATGGTCACGGTTTTCTGTTCGGTATATGTTGATTGTTAGCCTGACATGTTGGTCATGTTGCTGTTAGCATAAACAAAACGTGTTGCACAATGCTTGCACACTGTTGCACTTTCATCCACAACTTTCTTTCCACCATCATCGTAGGTAATGCTACGTTCACACCGGACGCAGCAGGAGCAGCAAAATCGCGTCTGCTGCTTCATTTTTGCTGCTTGTACAAGTTCAGTTCTGACGCGCATCTGAAGCAGCTTTGGTGCTCTGGCTGCACAGTAGAAAAAGTGTGTCTGACGCTCGATGGGCGGAGCTACTCTATCCTTTCTTTGCCTTGCAGCTATATTTGCTGTGATCAGTGGGAATAAAGTAGATTTAATATGTTTTTAAGTGAGAAAATCCATCTGAAAACTTAATCAGTGCAGTCAGTTCATCCAGATTACCATCCTGCCTTCCAATATTATTTCTGTCGGAGCCGCTCAGACCCCCACATACCGGTGGTGCACTGTCAGTAGGAATCCCATTCAACAGCAGCCTATGGCCCGGTAGCCTCCTTGAGGTTCGCCGTGGCGGCTGGAAAGCGGTTTTCATGTACATAATCCAAACTGCAGGGACCAGCATAATAAAATCAAATGCGCTTTGTCGGCCGGTTACAGCATTTTAAGTTAATTTAGACATTAATAGACTGTTTCAGATGAGTCATCACAG